AAATCAATCACATCTAATCAGTTTTGTTTTCATAGACTGACTTTAAAGGCACATTATGCCTCAGAAACAAACAAATTTGTACTCCTTTAGGAAGGACAAACATGACTTTAATTATTTTTAATAATGGCTTTAGAGAATGTTAGATGCTTGTTACATGAAAAAGTAGCGCTAAATGTGAAATAATGTGTCATATAAGAAGCAAAATGTAAACAGCGTTGTATGTTGACTTCCAATCCAAAACACATTTACTTATTCACTATAGCTGTACTTATTATCAAAAAGCAATGAAAAAGGTGGTTCAGGTAATTCGTCAATGAGTTACTATATGGATACTGTAAATATACGCTTAAATTAAACAGATTTTGAGAAATTATAATAAAAGCATTTCTGAGACATAATGGGCCTTTAAACTAAAAAAATTAAAAAGTTACACGTGCGTTTTCTTTAAAGCATTGGTCATCTACCTGTACATAGCACACTTTACAACAAGAAAAGTTCAAATTATTACATTTGCTTATTAAACAGAATATTGTGCGCAATTCTTACGCCATTTGTGAATGTTTACAGGCCTAAAATTTCTACGAATCAAGTATTTCAAGAAACTTATAAACAAACGTATGCAAAGCATTTTTTCTCATAATAAAGTAAATAATTCCTTACGTAAATTTTAAGATTGAATAAACATTTAAAATTTCAAAGTTTATAATACTAAAAAATGTTTAACATTCTATTAAATTTAAGTAATAATCGATTGAGACGATATTTAATTTCTTTAGATATTAAAAATAAAACAACGCTCTCGTGTTGTGTACAAATATGTTTTCATTCTGTAAACAACAATATTTTATTAAAATTGTCAACTTCTTTTGCATCGAGACATCAGTTTTGAAAATGTATTCGACTTAACACAATTTTTAAGCGTTTTATAAAGCTTTAATATTGCCTGGATGATATCCGATACGGAACGGTACGGTATGGGTTTAAAACACATCAAAACCAGCAGAGGTTCAATACAACGCAGCACATTTATTACGAAATGAATAGTTTTATCAAAGTTTTATTTAAAAAGTATATATTCCTGTTGTTGTTTTAATCAATATTTTAGAAAATGAGAATACTTTGAAAGCCGGACTTCTATTTGTATGACAGTTAGTTCTTGATACATGTAACATGTTGGTGATCAATAAACTTTTAAACACCAATGCTTGATTCAACAAGACTTTTTAGAGTGCATATCTAATTGATTAGTTTTAGAAATACATTTTAAAACTTTATTTATTTCACACTATTGAATTAAATTAATATTATGATTTTATCTGATTAATTCTATTTCAAAGTTATTATCAACATAAATCAAAACTCTGTAATGAGACATATTATTATAGATCAAGATTTCCTCTACACTATAACACCACTTTCTAGCTTTCCTCTACACTATAACACCACTTTCTAGCTTACCTCTACACTATAACACCACTTTCTAGCTTTCCTCTACACTATAACACCACTTTAAAGTTTTCCTCTACACTATAACACCACTTTCTAGCTTTCCCCTACACTGCAGCCCCACTTTTTTCTAAACACCCCCCCCCCCTATACTGTTACAACAGTCAAACCATCAAAAATAATGAAAGAGAATCCAACGAATGAAATAATTATCATATATTCTACAGGCGATTGATAACTTGTTTGAATATCTTTAAAATATTGAGAGACTCTGAATCAACATGTTTCACACTAAATTAAAAACTCAAATTCAAAAATTCCTGACAGGAAATGAAGAATTGAATTATTATATTACAAGTATATATTGAATATGTATATCTTAATAGATTATTGTTTTAGAAAGTGTTTATCTGTTGTATCAATTTTACCAAAATTGAGCCGCGTTACGACAAAACTTTGCGACCAGCATGGATCCAGACCAGCCTGCGCATCCGCGCAGTCTGATCAGTATCCATGCTGTTCGCTATCAGTTTCTCTTCTTGTAATGGGGTTTGTAAGCGAACAGCATGGATCCTGATCAGACTGCGCGGATGCGCAGGCTGGTCTGGATCCATGCTGGTCACAAACCCATTATGTTGGTTTTGTTGTGAGCGGCTCAAATGAACTTCCCCATCTTTCAATAAGGATAAAACCATTTATCTTTTTTCAGGGGAAAGTTTTAAATTACATAGCGCGAACAGCGTAGATCATGAGCACACGGCACGGATGTGTTGACGGATCTTGGTCTGCACTGGCCGCATGGTTAGATACGGTTGCCACTAGCAAGAGCTTAATATACAGAATTGTGGTAAAAAACCTATTTTACTAAAACTAAAAATGTATTTAGTCATAAAAAAGATGCAATAATTTACACTGTTCTACTTATAGATTTATAAGTTAACTTCTTAAGCAATGTTGAAAGAATTTTAAAATGATTTCTGGCAAAAATAAAGTGTTTATTATATTAAGTTAAACAAATCTCTGACGAATTCTTTAACAATTATATAAAGACGATGACGAGACATAGAAAAAATGGCATCAATAATAGATAAGGTCTCGAGTTAATGCACGAGTGATTTGTTTCAAAATAACTGACAAACGACTTTAGAAACGACCTCTTGTAACTATTTGATTGAGAAACACATTCAGCACGAGATTCAATTTAAAATTTCCTCATCGTACACGCAGGAAGTAAAGAAAAATAAAAGATTTGACTCAAAATAAGAAAGTTAACTTAACCCTCACCCTGTTTGAATTACCAGTAAGTGATTTAACCTTTGCCACCAGTATAGAACCAGGCAAGCCGGCACATCCGTGCAGTCTGATCATGCTCATTACGGCTTGTATCTCAACTGTTGTACTTTTGATATTTTAATTTCTTTAATTTTGAATACATTGTCGTTATTATTCAACTTATAGTAATTTATAAATTAAGTGATTCGAGCAAGTGTAAATCATTGATGCTCAAATGATGCTCCGCAGAATTATTAAATTGATAATGTGTAGAAATAAGCAAAACGATCACATAAACCGTTTCAAAACAAAAAAAAATAGGACATGTAAATTTTCTATAGTTTACTTTAAAGGAACTCCACAAAGGTCCAAAAGACTAAAAACATAAACTTTGAATTTCTTACATAGAGCGCATGGGGCACTAAAGCAGATAAATATGCAGAAGAAAATTAAGAAAATTACTAAAAATGAATTGAAATCGTATTTGTATGCTATTTTTAGTTTGTTTTGAGTGAAACGCGTTGCAACGCTTTCAATTTTGGATCATTTTTCACAATTAAACTAATAAAATTTAATATGGAAAAACAAGAGTAAGTGAATGGTCTGAAATTTTGCAAGCAAGTACCTACAGAAAAAGCAACATTCATCTTAAATATTATTTCCAGTCCCGTCATGTCAAAAATAACCTCAGTGGAGTCCCTTTAAACATCAATTAGACAATGAAATTTATACTTATTTAAAACTTTAATGTAAAATTCTTTAGACTTTATTGATGAAAACATTTGCAGTCATATGGTGGTGTAAAGCCTTTAAACTTGAATGTGTTGTTTTCAAAAACACTTTTTTTCAAATAATTACCATTACATCATAAGGGTTAAACCTTATCTATTTTAAAAGATAATAAAAGAAACTGTTGACTGCAGTATTGGATTCCACAATATGTTACATTTAATAGTCTCTCTTGATTTCAAAAAAAAAAAAATCACATATTTTATACTCCTAGTGAGGGGCCCAAAGCTTATACATACATGAGGTAATTTGATTTTCTATTTTTTTACTTTATTATCTTTATCATTTAAAAAATACAAATCTTTTCCAGGGACATTTTCAAAAAGTAATTTTCTAATGTTGAAACAGTAATCACTAGCTTAATTTTGGGTCAGGTATGTATAAAACTGGTGTAAATAATTGCATATAATTACATAATAGAAAGGAGAAGAAAAAAGGAGAATACAAATGTAAATGTATTTGAATGTCTACAGATATTCTACTGTATAGAAACTATTAAAATTGTATAACTTGTGATTCTGTCAATATAAAAGTAAAAAAAAACAACACCATAAAAGAATCTAAGAATTCTTGGATAAAAAGTTCTAATAAATAAATAACAGAATATTCTTTCAGTTTAAGATAGAGAATCCAAAAATGTTCATCCATTTTTTCATATAAATTTCATTCTGGTCCCCGAAACACACACTTTTTCCACTATTTCCCCTATTTCAAAAGAAAACTTCTGTATTTTCCCATAACATTGAACTTTAAGATTTAATATGAAGATCCAAACAAATATTTATGTATAAGTGTCGGTGAAAAACGAGATCTCACTTTAAAATGCTACAGATAGTTCTTACAAAAGATACAAACAATACCATTCGCGCGCATTTTATGGTTGCCAAGGGACCCGACCCTCAACATAGCCGGCATAAATCCGCCGTAAAGTAACTGAAATTCGTAATTCACATGCAAATTTGCATGCATTTCGATCATTTCTCCATATAATATATAGTTAGGTTAGAATTTTCCCATTTCCTTAGAAGATAATTAACAATATGTGGAGAAACTCTGATAATCGCACATATTTTCTTTAAAGTTAAACAAAACATAAAAATATGACTTTAGAGGTGAAAAAACCAACATAACATATGATGTTATTAGTATTGAAAGTTCTTGATTTACTGATGTCCGGAGTACATCATGCTAATTCAAAATATAGAATATTTTGTTATGTGATTAAATTGTAAAAAAACAAAGAAAATATGACAGATATTATTTTTGATGACAAAAGTATTCTGTTGCCACCTTTTACATGCTATTTAAGTGTACTGAGATTTATAATGTACTACTTTTTTGGTATAAACTCCAAAGATAGGTTATTCAAACGTTTTTGCCGTAATCTTAAAGGAAAAGATATACCCTAATTCTAAAGAATACACCTTGAGACTGGTATCTTTTCTTGAGTATAAAAATACCTTGATTACAAATTAAAATCTGCAAAAACATACTAGACGCATGCCCACCTCCAAATCTGTCTCGCCGGAAGTCTATCCATGGTATACTGTAGGGATTGAACATGTGAATCATGGGGTGAGGTCTTTGTGCTGGAACCTTAACCACGCCGTGCGAGCCCCGGTACAACCCACATCCGCCAAGAGGTAGCAACGAACCTGCAGCTAAATCTAATGGATATAAGCTCTGTGCATGCGCGTATGCTTCTTCATATTTAGACGTCGACAACGTTGGTGACGTCACTGGTGATGTCGAACGTGAACGGTCAGAAAGTTCTTTCTCGTTCTCATTGTCACTATCACACTTAATGTCTGAATCTTCGTTTGTAGAATTAGTCGGGGATACTGACCGACTGCGTCTTTGTTCACCCAAGATTTGGTTAATTCCGAAAGAGAGTTTAGGCTTTTTAGGCCTTTCAACAATTTTCTCAGCGTCAACGTTTACGTCCTCACTGGCGTCCTTACTCTCCTTTTCCGACATCTTTTTCACTATACAAATAAAATTCCGGTTGTAAAAAGACTTTTGAAAGGATTTAAGTTGTGCTTTTCATGAAAAAACTCATTTTGTGAAGTTTAATGTATACGGTATCTTGAATATACTTTTTTCACATTTTTACACAGTAAGCTCCTTTCATATATGTCAAAGACAGAATTAGCAAGAAGAAAGATCTCCATTATAGGTAACATACCTCTAGAATATGGCGCGGAACGACGTCAATCAATGCCTTCTATGTCATTGGCTGAAAATCTTAGCGCGCGTGGTTAAATTCCGTAGCTCCGCCCATGAATAATCTAAGACCAATTATCTGAGAAAAGCTGGCTGTTGAAGTTATACCATGTAATCGATATATAGGGTATTTGGAGCGCTATTCAATCTTGAATACCGTGAAAACGTGTAAACAAGGGTCATTAAGAGCTTGGAATTACATCAACAAGGAAAACTGGTGTTGAAACACCAATAACTTCGTGAAAGGTCGATAATTCTGAGAAATAAGGTTGGAAACTTTTGCTCTCTAAATTAACAACATTCACACGTCATAAAGAGGGTTTTTCGGCGTTTATGTTTCTTTCCACCCCGTAATATAATTTACAGCCGTCGTAATCAAGTTAAGAACACTGTTATTTTAACCCTTCCTTTTAAAATGTCGCACTTTAAAATAATGGTTTTCCTAATTCTAGGTCTCTGAACATCGCTTTTTAGCACTGTAGAAGTATAGGAATAAATGAGAGAAGCTGATACATGAAATTAAAGAATATTTGGAGAACATAATTGCTGCGTATAAAATATTAATGAAAACATTAACTCGAGTTAAGTGGGACTTAGGAATACGTAAATAAGATTTTGTCATCTGCAGAGTTTTTGCAGTTTTGATACACAATTCTCCTGCATTGTTTGGAAGTTGTACTGATGATATATGGAAACTGCATGCAGTTAAGTGTAATCTTTATGTCCGCTGGTGGCAAATAATATTACCCTTGCGACCTGTGCAGACCGGAACCGTGCCGTCTGACCATGGTTTGCACTGTTTGCTATTCTCTCAGTACCTATTAAAGAATTTTAAAAATGCCGCCAAAAATGATGAATGGTTTTGTCGTAAATTACAGATTGAAAAGTCCGTATATGATATCTAACGTGGCAATGGTTTTCAAAAGTAAAAACTTGTAAGGAGGTTATTAAGGATCCATCTTCAACATAAAAATATCAATTCAACTTTCACCAAAGTTATTAATTCGATAATCTATTTAGTTTTCCGGAAAACTGTGTACATCTTGCAAATTCTGCACGGAAATTAGCGTTAATATCCACCCAGCAATCTAGTAATATGTTTCCCCAACTCTTTAGTTTGGACATTTTGTTTATTTGCGGTTGATAAACACTTTCATTTCAACGGGGTTTACATTGACAGCTGTCATGTTATCATACTTGAGAGAAATCCATCACAATGTTCTAATTATTTTGTCATTTTTGAATTCTTTCAGCTGGCATGGAAACAGGTCAGATTCATATCCAACCATTTCCTGCAGTCGTTTAGTTATGTTGTTTTGTTTTTTGGTTGTTTGTCTGTCTATCTTTGTTTCTTTTTTGTTTGTTATTTTTTCTTTCCGGACATTAATTACAATAAGTAGCTATCATAATAATTGTATACAATTAGTCAAATTATATTATCTCATCTATTTTCAATTATTTTCCCAAAGTGCAGCGAAAAGAAAGTGGCATCATTCCGTACGTGCGTAGTGCATAACTCTGAGCACGTGCGATTATAAATACGAATACGTACATATGCACGAACATGTTAATTATAAAAAAAAATAATACATTATTGAAAAAAAATAAAAATTTCAAATAATTCAGTTCCGTTTTTCGTTTTATTCACCGGTTGTTTTCACAAAACACCATGTGAGCTGTTTTTTTTTACAAATGATTATTCCAGTAAAACAAAATTAAATGAATAATTAATTTGATGTCTTTTATTCTCCAGACGGTGTTTTCTTAAATTTAGAAAAAAAAATGTAATTCATTAAAGATTGATTGATTTCCAGGGGTAAAAATGAGACGGGAATTCATTTAAAAGTCATGGACCCGCATTAAAATAGAGAACTTTTATTAAATAAGTTTAAGATAAATTTTTACATTAGATTTGAGACTGCTCACTCAAAATTTTCCTATATTTCATTAAAATAGGAGGGATTTGCTTAGCGCTGGTATATAGGCATTTTCTGATCAGCTAAAAGAATTGACTTTTATGACTCTGTTTATTTTACAACAGTAAATCGCGCGTATGACGTGCATATTCTATTGACTTATATATCTTATAGACCACTGTCACCTTGTTTAAAACACACACACACACGCACGCATGCACGCTCGCAACAAAAAAAAACAACAACAAAAAACAAAACAAAAAGAAAATAAAATGTATGTGTTTGCAGGAAAAATATCCCCCGCATAAATGAATGAATGAAATGAATGAATGAATGAATGAATGAATGAATGAATGAATGAATGAATGAATAAATAAATAAATAAATAAATAAATAAATAAATAAATAAATAAATAAATAAATAAATAAATAAATAAATAAATAAATAAATATTGTTCTCAACAAATGGGCTAAACAGGCGCATTCTAATATGGCATTCCGCTGCAAAAAGTCGTTAATGTTTGTAGACTGACATAAGTTTTTGGTTAATGAAAGTCAATGTCTAATAGGGAAATTAATAACGAGGTGTTTAATACAGGAAATGTAAATATCCAGATGCTATCAAATATTTACATATTGTAAAATACCTATGTTCCATAGCCGGTTGTTCTCTGTCAACACTGTTGGACCAACCCCCAAATTAGTCTTGTCTATCGAACCTGACACTCGTGAAAAACGTTCTGGCAATACGTTACATTTTTTATCATTCATTCTCGTATATCTCGGATATTGTTGCTAATTGGATGCCACCTTATATATTTAAGATGATAAGAAATAAAATAGATGTTTATTTACAGATACTCGCTATAACACGCCGCACACATTGTTTTAATGTTTATCAACAGTTTGGCAACATGATATGGCTTTTGTTTTAACGCCATTTGAAACTAGTTTTTCTCCCCTCTTTACTGATAATCGCACGCCGGCACTCGACAATTTCATAATTTATCGGTGACAAGGGCAAGTGGCTTTGTAAATTATTTTTTCTTGGCAAATTAAGGTGAATTACGCTATCTTTTTTTTTCTTTTAGAAACATTTTTTGCGCTATTAAAAAATCCGTGTTGCAATTATATTGGAACATATCGTCGCTATGTTTCGATGAAATGAAATATCTCATGCGGTACACCACTGATATTTTGTGATCAATCTGATTTAATTGGTATAATGCTTGAAACAAATTGAAATCAAAGAGTTTAATTGGCCAACTTGTAGACCATTCTAAAATAAGTTTTTGTCCAACGCCCCCTAAAAAACAACAACAATAACAACAACATCGAACCAAATCACTTTCTGTCAACCTATCGTTTATTTACAGCCGTCGTATATTAACATTAACATTTCGTGATGTCCAGTCCCCATATCACTAGAAGCTCGTCAATTATTCACCTATCACACTCTCTTTATTGTCTCTTTTACATATTGACCATTTTTTCACAGCCCTGCACGAGTTCGGTGCGAACTGACGTTCGTGTCGGTTACACCGCCATCTATCCTTACATGTCCACATCATGAAATACATAAATACTGTTGAGAGATAGCGATTGGAATTACTAACCTGACCATTCTCCTGGGTAAAATATGTCCGTGCGGTTTTAATGGTCAAGATATCGGAGTGGTCATTTGGGGCCACAACAGAGAGAGGCGTAAATTGTAATTTGTCCGTTTATTGTTGGGAGACATTTCTAATTATAGTGAAGGATGCCTGCATTGTTATAGAATTGGTCAATCAGGCGAGCGCATGCTAGTGGGAAAATATCGTCAATAGATAATGGTTAAACATCTCTGGGCGAGCGATAAAACGTAAATGATACCACTTGGTTTTGAAGAGAGTTTTCTCATTTCTTTTTGTGAATGAAATTAATAGCTAAACAATTGAAAAGTGTTAGAAGTAGCAGCATTAAATGACGTTTTAACTCTTAACCTTAAATGAACTTGCACAGCTTCCATTTTTTGGGAAGATTATTATCAATATTATTTTAATATTTATATATTATAAGGGGTATTAAGATGAAAATTTTAACCTAATAAACGTTTAGTATATAACTTGGCTCTATACTGGGGGGGGGGGGGGGGGGCTTTCTTTCCAGCAGGTTAAGGGTTAAAAGACATTTACATATTTTCACGGGAGCTTACTCTGGTTTGTAAAATTATAATGTTATTATTAAAGAAATAGTACACATAACTGAGTGCCTATTTGCATTATATAGTGACCGATCAGTCAGCCCGCAAACATCACAGCTCGTTCAATGTTTGGAACTAACTTGGGGTGGGGGGGGGGCACTATAATGCTATGAGGTCCGAAATACTGCAATGTTTTTTTTAAGAATATAATGGAAAAAGTTGGAAACATAGTTTTTGCACAATATCTCTTTTAAGATATGTTGGCAGTCAGCTTATATTACGCGCGTTTTCAGTCCTACGCATAAACCCTCCCAGCCTGCTGAATCTCAGTAAGGGCTTATCAGCTAGTAAATCACTATTAACTGTATATCTCCCATTAACACGTCCACTGAGCTGAGAGTCTTGTCATTATTAATTGGCCCTCTGTATTCTTATCTAATGGCCCTAACGTTGAAGGATCAAATTTCTGAAGATACACTAACTTTATCGATGTTTTTTTCTCTGGGTCTGCGACATTTAGCAATTATTTGAATTATTTGTAAATATTATACTTAATTAATATCACAAGATAAATTTTAGCTACTAAATGAATTATATGTTAGGATATACCTTTATAAGTGATAATCATCTTCTTAATTTATAAACTTCCATAGTTCAGTGTTATTCGTGTTACTGAGTGAACTCCCCCCCCCCCCCAACCCCACCCCGAAAAAACCCGCTAAAAAATATTTTTATTATTAGCTCAACTATATAAAATATATGGAGAGCTGTCCTACTTACCTCGGCTTGTAAGCCAGCGCCAGCGTACATACTTTAAATTAATGCTTATATGCAGTAAACATTTTATCTCTTACTATTTTATT